ACGGATATACCTTATTTATAATATATTAAATTAAAAATAATTTTATAAAAATTAATTAATCAAATAAAGTAATTTAATAAAAAATTTAAAAAATAAACAGAGCATTAGTATGAGACTGCTTAATATTTCAATTTTTTTTTTTGTTAATTATAAATAAATTTTGTATATATTTTAAATATTTATAAAAGAGTTTTATAATCATAAAAAACATTTAGTACAAATTATATTTGTAACATTAATTTGAAAGTCTAATTCATCAAACACAAGTTTATAGCTTTTGAAACTTACAAGTTACAACTTTAAGAATAAAATTTTATCAAAAAAATTTCAAATTATTTTGAAAGTTGAAAAATGATTAGATCTAAAGCCTTAAGTACGTCTATTTTTTTTTCATAATTTTTCATTTATTAATACTTTTTTGTAATTATTTTAAAAGCAAATAAATCATTACTATTATTTAGAAAACAGGTGTCAAGAATCAAAGAGTAGTTTATCTGCTGGGAGTAGCCTCACCTCCTTTCTCTTTACGAGTTGTTACAGGCTCGGATCCACTTCAATCCGGAGCCCAAAGTAATACGGGCCAGTCCATTTATTCTAAATGGGCCAGACAAGGTGAAGAAACAATTAAATCCACCTCAATATAAAAATATTTAAAAGGATAAACAACTGATAAAGTGAGCTGACAGAGTAACAATGGCTTCTCTTCAGCTCAGTCTTCCCTTCTCATCGGCTAGCCGGTTCAGACACCGGCCGGTTCTTTGTGCTAACGAGCGCCAGGTGCTCTTTAACCGCATTGCTCCCGTATATGATAACGTGAGTCAACTCCACTTGTTCGTTTCGTTGCACTTAGCTTTTATTCATTTAACGGTTTCTTTAAAATTTCCTATTTTTCCTTTTTTATGGGAAATTGCAGTTGAATGATTTATTGAGTTTGGGTCAACATCGAATATGGAAGCGAATGTCTGTATCCTGGAGTGGGTATGCAATTTTATATATTTTTGAGTTTTTGTTATTGAAATTTTATGCTGAATATTGAAATTTTGGAACAGAGCAAAATCTGGAGACAATGTGTTGGATGTATGTTGTGGAAGTGGGGATCTGACATTTCTTTTGTCTGAGAAGATTGGGCCTGATGGCAAGGTTTCTTCTCTTTCTTTGCCTTTGAATCTATTTTCGTTTGTGTCTCAATGATACAATCAAATGATTTTACTTTTCATATCAAAACTTGGTTTCTTTTTCTGAGTATGTGCTGCAGCACGAGGCGCATCAATATGGTGTACAATAACAGAAAGGAACCTATACAGTCTTTTTTCCCTGCTTTCAAAATAAAATAATATTCTGATTTGCATGCTGATTTATTCATATTAGTAGTATTGATCCTTTACCGTATTCATTTTACATAGTAGAAATTGTTTGTGTGATTTTTATTTTTCTGGTCAAAATTTGCAGGTGAGAGGTCTTGATTTCTCAAAGGAACAATTGTCAATAGCTTCATCGCGGCAGGAGTTGCTCAGAAAGGCCTGCTACAAGAATATAGAGTGAGCATTGGTAAATCTAGCTGTTGAAGGATTCAGTAACCTGCATATAACTGTTAAAAATTAGGAAACTCTATTTCATGTATATGGTCATGAAGTTTGCCAAAGTTTCTTGTGTACAGGAAAATGATCATTAAATCCTTCTAAATTTCATCTGTAGCTATTAAATTTTAATTTTTGCAGTAACATTAGTAGTAGTAACTGTCCCAAGGAAGTAATATTTTCATTCATGTAGGTGGGTTGAAGGTGATGCTCTTGATTTGCCGTTTTCTGATTGTTTCTTTGATGCTATTACCATGGGTTATGGGCTACGAAATGTGGTAGATAAACATAAAGCCTTTGAGGAGATGTTTCGAGTTCTAAAACCAGGTTTTGCCTTATACCCCCTTCCTTCTGTACAGGAATAAGAAATAATGAAAGTAAAATGCAACATGATGAGGGTTTTGCTTTCTTCCTGGGATTTGCAGGCTCTACAGTATCTGTCCTTGACTTCAACAAAAGCACTCAACCATTTACTGCCACGATTCAGGTATTCAATAGAAATAACAAATGTCGTTCTTATGTTGGTTTCTAACTCACTTTCTAGCTTGAGATACTAATTCATGTTCTGGCCTTTTTGTATATAATTGAATTTAATCTAGTGTTGTGATTCGATCTTATGTTTGTTGAATCAATAGTTGAGAACTAATTTTCATCAGTTGTGTGGAGAAATATTTTTCTTGTATTTCATAATGAGATGTACAATGAATTTATAGCAAAAACAAAAAACTAATCTAGGAAGTAAATTGTTACATTCCTATTATAATTCTATTTCCTATTCCTATTATAATTCTATTTCCTATATTACAAAGAGAATAATTCTATTTCCTATTTTACATTTCAACAAGTTGCAAACATGTTAAACTAAATTTTCTACATTTGTTTTCTTTTCTCAAGGAATGGATGATTGATAATGTTGTTGTCCCAGTGGCAACTGGTTATGGCCTTGCTAAGGAATACGAGTATTTGAAGAGTTCAATCAAGGAATTTTTAACAGGTTCATTCCTGCTCAAAAACTGTTAGTGAAATTTCTTTTCTTTTATGTTGTTGTGAGATAATCGGTTTAATATCCCAAAAATACCTTCAATAACTCATGTGCTATCTATTGTTAGACAAATTGTTGACTGACCATATGCTGAAATTTTTGAAGAAGAACACTCTTTGATTGTAAATTTTCTTGGTGATTTGTTATAAAGACATTTTCTCTATCATTGGCCATAGCCTTATGCTGGTTTTTTCATTTTATGTAGGGAAGGAGTTGGAGGAGCTTGCTTTGGAAGTAGGATTTTCTAGAGCTAAACATTATGAGATCAGTGGAGGCCTCATGGGGAACTTAGTGGCCACTCGTTAACTTCGAGTCCGTTTGTTTTATTATTTTGGATATGATTTTGGGAATAACATTGGATAGTTGAGTAGGGTTATTATTACGAGAATATGATTTGAAGAATATGTGTTTAGTAGAGTATTTTGACCTTGTTATTTGTGTTGAATATTTGATTGATATATTTTTTTACAAATGATTTATTAATATAATATTTTGGTTCATTTTGTTAAAATAATGTATTATTATAACATTAAAACTTATCAATTTACATTTTAATAATATTAAACATTTTATTGGTAATTTTGTAACCAGTAAATATTAAAAAACAAAAACCCATATTAATTTCAAGTACTAATCCAATTGTTTAAAAACATCACATTAATACATATATGCCAAAAGTACTAATTATCAACCCTTACAATCGTTCTTACATGTATAGTCCATTAATAACTACGACATGGTCTACTGTGCTGCCCACAATGCATTCGTTATGTTATCCCGTACAGTCGTCATGTTGTCTATAATACCTTGTTCCGGTTGACTCGGTCCTTCTCTGTTTTGGCCATCTTCTGCCCGGTTTTGGTGATCACAATATACTTGCTCATTACTCGTATTTTCAGTATAATGTTCGAAGATAGGGTCATCCATATTGTACATTCTGATAAAATTATGAGGTACACAACATGCCATAACAATTTTCCCTTGTTTGTCCAACTGGTAATTGTTCATTCTATTCAGAATACGGAACCGTCTTTTCAAAACACCAAAGGTTCTCTTGACAACATTACAGAGTGAAGCATGTTTGTAGTTAAACAATTCTTATGGCCCCCTTTGGTTATGGCGGTGATCAGAAATATAGTAAGCCACTCGCCTATGAGGGGCGACTAACCCCTCTCTATTTGGATAACCCGCATCAATCAAATAGTATTTCCCTATGATAAAATCAGACATGTTATTTGAATTACAGGGCCTCAACAGTGGAGCAAATACGCTATAATATGTCAAAAAAATACTTATACCTAGTGGAGGATGTGGGAATCCAGAATTAGGATCATCAAGAATTGAATTTAAAACTCTTGAATCATGCGCAGATCCTTCCCATCCAGTAACAACATAAGTGAACATCATCCTAAAGTCGCATGCAGCCATTACATTATGTGACAACGTTCCTTTGCGATTCCGGTACCTATCGGCAAATTCATGTGGAACCGAAACGTATACATGTGTGTCATCAATGACTCCAATACAGTCCTATCATCAAAATTGAATTTTACTCATATTAACCGACTATCAACATTAATAACACAATGAACTTAACTGTCCACTAATAGAAAACATAATGAACCAGTACCTTCAAGAAAGGGTAATATTTTCGGTTGGCTGATATTTCCTATGGAGCATCACTGAAGTCAGGTGGTCTGATAAACTCTGTCTTCAACACACATATCGCCCCTCAAACTGCGCCAACATATCTAAAGATCGTCTCACCCGAATGTTGGAAATCCTCTATCATCGTTCTGATTGTCTCGTTTTTACCAACGATTGTTAGAAATATCATAACTTGTTCTTCCAAACTCGTCTTCCTGGTTGGTCGCAATGTGCCTTGCTCTGACAAAATGTCACATAAGTATGTGAAACAGTCTTTGTCCATGCGACACTTGTCAAAGATCATGTTAGCATGACCATTAAGTACTTCCAACATGTACTCATGACCAGTTAATATGGATGTATGTCATAGTTGATACTCAGTTGTTTCTAACGCGGCAACACCGCAGAGTGCAATGGCTATATCTGTCAATATTTCTTCTTCGTCATCTGTAGAACGTCGTCTTCTTCCTATACGGCTAGACGACGCCATTTAAACCTGCACATTTGCAAAACATTGATCAACAATTAACAGTTGTTGTACTACTTGGCAAAATATAACAGTCAATATTTAATTCTAATGACAATCCAAAACTCATATGAAACATGCAATCTGACATAAAACAGTAGCACAATTAATAAGTTCAAGCAATAGTGTTATAAATTCTAATTCTAATGACAAGTGCCCACTGACGCATACAAAAGTGTTGGCAAACACTTAGGACATACAGTGTCATCTACAAATTGCAAAAGTCGTTATAAATCCAATTAGCCTTTTCCTCGGGCGGGAGTTTCACGAATATCTCCCGCCACCCTATATTTTGATATAAGTACTTGACAACTGGCATGTAAAACTCTATGGGTACTTGCATGACCGTCATGATGTCAATACAATTGCTCATGGAAAACAGATCAGATGGACCACTGGTGTTCTCTTTGTCCCTCTCATTTCCATTGCGATTGCTAGCCCTCGATCCCATAGTCCGCTTCTCCACAAGCTCTTTCGTCAATCTACCAATGACATCCGCAAGTGATTGTCCAGGGTCGCTTCTGTTCCTCTTATTTCTCGCTCTTCCATGGCCAGATGTGTTTGGCCATTTTTCCCCTGTCATTCGATCTGGATTAGGTTCAAAGTCGCTATCATCCATGGGAATCATGCCCTGATTGGAATAAGTGGAGGTCTCCATCGGTTGAGCTGTAGATATATACACATATCTCCCAGTGGCAGTTTGCTTCTCAAATATGATTTCATAAAGCTCCTTGTGAGAAAGTCTCTTGTGGTAGAATTGTTGCGCCTGTGGGTTTTGCTAGTAATGTAAAAGAATAATATATTAATATTTGGCAGTCTGAAAAAAAAAAAGTGTACAATTACGATGTCGTTGATTAATATTAGTTAAAAAGTTGAAAATTTACCTTGGCATATTCTTGCCAAACCTCTACGGGACACGTTGGACCTTGTGACTCATGATCCCACCCGAACCTTGTGTGTTGCAGCAATTTCCGCCATGCTTGATATACTCTTCGCAGGCGAAAGTACTTAGAGGTTACTTGTGTGACGTTGATTCTCCTCCCAGCCACTGATGATAAGTCGTCCAACATTTCCTGGTAATCTACTATTTTTATTGAAGTACTGTACGAAGTTTTTGCCCGCTCAGACAACAGGACCAGAAATTTGTGGGTCATCTCAGCGGACTAGTTCATGTTATCACTAATCTAAGTACAGTACGATGAGAACGACAACCAACATTGGGACACCATACGAATCACCAATCACATTACAAACTGACATACGCACATTTAAACGTAATCAAGTAAACACAGATAAAGTTATATCTCGTTCGATCCGACACTGCTTGAAGACGTCAATGCAGGGGAAGATACAGACAATGTCGACCAATAGGGTGTATGACGAACTCCAAGTCTAGAAAAACGTCGAAACTTTCGCCTCTGCTTCAAGTAGTAATCAATCCTACGACGTCAGGATAAATTATACTGACATCTGTGCATATGAGCGTCGATGTCAAATCTACAGAACAAATATATCAGTTAGTGAAATCCCAAAAAAATATTTCCAATAATTTTTTACTCCCAAAATTTATCCATTACATACAGTATGTTACATACAGAACATATGAAGCTACACAATATTTTGACGCATGTGTTAAACACTGTAAGCAACATGGCACATGCTCTAACCGTTAAACCCCACAAACAAATCCACTAGATCCAAGTTTCTCATGTGCAAAAATCACTTTGAGTTCACCAATTATAAAACACATTATTAAAGTCCAAATTAAAAGGAATAATAAAAGGAAAAAATAGTACTAACACAAAGCCAAAATAAAAATAAAAATCAGGACAATTGCGTTGAGTCTCTTGAAAACAAACATGTCACGGAAGCTAAGAAACTGGATTCGCAAACTTTCGGGGTCTCTTCCTTCCTGAATATTTTGGACAGATATACAAAAAATCACAAATTATGCGTAGATGTTTTGTACACGATAAACCTACAAACACAAAACAAAACAAAAATCAAAACGCAATCACCTTTCCCTTCCCTGATGTTTGTACACGATATAACCTTCAAACCCAAAAAAAAATTCCAACACATCACCTTTCCCTTCCCTAATGTTTTGTACCAATATAACCTGCAAAAAAAAAAAAAAAAAAAAAAAAAAAAAAAAAAAAAAATCAAACACAATCACCTTTCCCTTCCCTTAATATTTTGGACAGATCTGCGACAAACACAATCACCTTTCCCTCTGGACAGATCTGCGACGTGGGTGGTAAACGTTGGTGGGTGGGTTTCGCAAAATCTGCAACATCGGACAGATCTGGTACGTGGGTGGTTCACGGTGGTGGGTGGGTTTCACAAAAAAAAACTGTCATGGGACAGATCTAGTGGTGTGGGGTGGTTCACGGTGTGAAGAAAACTGAGAAAATGAAATACAAATGCAGTGAAGAAAACTGAGAAAATGAAATACAAATGTAGCGAAGAAAACTGAGAAAATGAAATACAAATGAGAGAGAAATAAAAGCTGCAAACTATCTAACGGTCAAAAACCTGTCAGGATCGAATTTTCAAAGCGCTATTGTCTGAATAATAAGCCAAACACTATTGGAAAAATCGGTTTGAGAATATGGACATAAATAATAAGCCAAACAGACCCATTGATATTTACAATTTCATCTCAAACCTCGGGACCCTCAAAACTGTGTTTTAAAAACCGAATCGGACCGGACCGACCGGTTGGACTGGTTGGACTATCGACCGGTCCTCTATCCGGTCTAAAACATAATCAAAACCGTTTATGTCATTTGACTCGGATTGAACCAGATTGGATCGGCCAAACAGTGTCGAACCGCCGGTCCAACCAGTTCAGTAGAAAAATCGGGTCACTAAGAAAATACCCACCTTCATCTTCATCTTCCCTCCTAACTCTCTCCAATTCTCAGAACTTATCCATTTTAGTCTTCCCCATGAAAATTTTTGCTAAATCTATAAAATGGCCCCCAACTTTCCCCTCACCTTTTTATCCACACGCCTCCCCTAGCTTCTTTCTCCCATGGATTCTATTTTCATTTCTTCCTCACTTCCCTCTTCGTTTGCTGCTTTCAGTCTTCCCCGTGATAACTAATTGCTGTTTTTTTGTTTTTATTGATTGATAAAAGAGAAGCCATCAAAACAGTAAAATGAACCCTAACTTTCCTCTCACCTTTTTATCCACGCGCCTCCCCTGCTTTCTTCTCCCATGGATTTTATTCATTTCTCCTCACTTCCCTCTCCGTTCTTCAGTCTGCCTCATGAAAATTAATTGACAATTGTTGTTTTTTTATTTTTACTTATTGATAAAAGGGAAAGCTTGGGGTGCGTTTGGCTCCCTATTTCTACCCATATTCCCAATCCTATTCTCCAAATATTGTTTGGCACATTATTCCAGAAATATTACTATATTTTTTTAATTACTTTTTGTAATACCCAAGATGTCAAAGGTATGTTCCTAACTCGAAATAGTCATTTAAATGTTAATTTTATGTTAAAAAGCATAAAATCTAACTAAGGGAAAAATAGTCGATTCATTTGGAATGGTATGAATCAATTATCCATAGAAAGGCATTAGGGGTGAAATGGTCATTTTGCCTATGGATAAGCATTGAAAAAGTCAAGGATGAGTAGGCTTCATTGCATAAATGCCCTTATATGAAGAATTAAGGACTTATGAATTATACAACTAAAATAATTGGGCCAACTACATAATTTTGGAAAATAAATGAAATATTTTCCTATAAATGAGATGAAATTCGTTCAAGCCAAGGGAGAGAGCATTTCTTCAACATTTCTTCCATTTTCTCTCAAATCTTCCATGAAACAACCTTTCTTTCTCTAAGTTTTAAAGGAGTTTTGCTTATTTTTTCAAGGAGAACAAGATAGGAGCCTTGGATCTTCAATTTGAAGGGTTTAAGGTAAGGATAATGTTAATAGGAATTGATGTGGCATAGTTAGTATGAAAATTCGGATTTAGTGAGCTTAGGGGTTTTGTTAACCCTGCTTCAGTATTTCGACCATAACTTGAGTTATAAACATCTAAATGAGATGATTCTTGAAGCATTAGAAAGCTAAGACACAGACCTATAACTTTTATGTTTATGCCAAGAGCCAATTCGTTTGATAAATGGACGGAAAATGGCCTGAAGTATAAACTGGTTATTAAAGTTTAAGATTGAACATGATCAATTCTTATGATTATGAATTGATTATTAATGTATTATTGTAATTATGCCATGTACTAATGTTTACCCATTAGTTAGATGATCTTTGAAAGATATACATGGTCATGATGTCAATGCATGATTAATGTTGTGAAATGGCATGAAGATGTAATGTAATACATGTTTCAAGATGATGTATGTGAGCAAGAGGTAATGTAAATGGATTGATAATCCATAGATGAATTAAAAGTATTAAGCTCACCAAAATATGTATTTACATGCCATAAGATGTTAGAGATGCAAATAGACATGATAGAGATGCATATAGACACGATGGAAAACGCGTAAGCATATCCTCGTATACCGGTTGAGGAAAGATGAATATATGCTTTAGATGCTAAATAACGCGTAAGCACGCCTCCCGATGATATGAGCTCTAGATGAAATTTGAGGCTAGATGATATGAAGTGCTTAAGATGCTAAGAAAAGTCCGATCGGCTAGACATTAAATGGTTCATATGCGTTTAGTAGCATTACATGAGTTATGATGTTATTTACATTATGCGATGATTTATGCTCATGTTAGATGATTTTAGATGTTATGTCATGACATGTGATGTGCGTGTACTATGTTTACATACTTATTTGTATGTGTACACATTGATGTTATATAGCCATGGGATAAAATGATGAAAGACATATGAAATAGAAAAAAAAAAAATATATATATATATATAATAAAAGGGGAAGTATCCCTAGATGTAAAAGATAAGTGATGTGTTAACAAATATGTTTAAATAAAGATCAAATAACACATTTAGAATGAAACGGATCATTCCTTACTGAGCGATTATCGCTCATCCTTTTATTGTTGATTTCTTTGCAGGTAGATTAGAAGCGAGGGATGCTAGAGACAACGGGGCTACACGTGAAGGGAGATGATTTATTGTCATCTTGATGTTTTTATCTTGATGTAAATAATGTAAATGATAAATATTTGTGAAACACCTTTTGGAATAGTCCACCTTATAAATATGTTTCGAATGTGTATTTTATAGATAAATTCTTAAAGTTTTGAAATTATATGTTTAGATCCTGCATGACATTTTATATGCATGTATTGGATATTACTATTATTATCCTTACATAGATATTTTTTCTAAATACAACTCATTTTCCAGACATGTATCCTCGAGATTCTCATTGAGGGATATTCAGAGGATACCTGACTGGAGGGGGGTTTTACACTTTTAGACCCCTTAAGTTTATTAATTTCATTAAATACCCCCAGAAAAAAATGTTTAAAAATTAAAAAAAACACCCCTATCAACCCATACTTGCCAGATTCCGGCAACCACCATCGGTGGTAGCCAAAATCTGTACAACGGCCTACACCACAACCAGAACTGGCTGGTAGTTCACCGATCTGGCCTTTTCCGACCTTATCCACCACGGATCTGGCTGAAAAAGGCCAGATCTGACGGCAAAAAAAATGGCCATCGTTGACCGAAAACGACCACCATATTGTTGGACTTCTTTGGTCTTTTTCGACCGTCGACGACCACATCTGGCTATAGATCTGGCCTTTTCCGGTCAGATCCGTGGTGGATCTGGCCGGAAAAGGCCATAGCGATGCGTTACGACACAGATCTAATTCGGCCAGATTCCGGTGGTGGTGGCGGGAATCTGGAACTGCGGGTGGTGGGGGTGTTTTTATTATTTTATATGTTGGGGTGTTTAATTAAATTAGCAGACCTAGGGGTTTTTTTATAAATTTTTAAATGTTACCTCATAATACTCCTTTATTTAACTACTTAATATTATTCTCAAAATCTTATCCAAAATAATAAATCTATGCACCCTTGGATATTTGAAATTGAAATGTGTTAGGATATGAAAAATAAGAAATTAATTAATGAGAGAGAAGGAGTGGTGGAGAAAATGAGAGAGAAAAGAAGAGGCCTTTCACTGATGAAAGAGGCGGCTGCAAATGGAGATTTGAAATTGAAAAAGTGTTGGATTTGGGATTTGGGAATATGCAACAAAAAGAACTTAATTAAAGAGAGAGGAATGGTGAAGAAAAGGAGTGAGAAGGAGAAAGTGAAAAAGATTGAAATTCAAAAAAAAAAAAATTTTAATGATGGCAACGGTCCAACCGTCGGTTAAACCGGTTAGATTGGTCAAATTAAAAACCGGACTCTTGACCGAGTCAACATTCGGTCCGGTTTTTAAAATATTGCCTCAAAATGTTTCTGCCTTGATGGCGAAAAAGACTACTGTAACAGTTATCTAATTACTAATATTCAACCTCATCGCTACAGGCTGTTTTCTTCACCCATATGATTATCTATTAATTTTTCAGCACCGACCTTTCCAGATATGATTTGCAATCCTTACACAAAACTCAACCATACCTTCTTATTTATAATTTAATAATTCCATATTCACATCCAAATTTTATTGCATCTGTAAATGAAGTACCAATGAGGAATGACATAGTTAAGTGTTGAAGTTGTATATTAAATTATATTTGAAATAATTGTTTTCTTGTAATTCATAGTTAGAGAGTTATGAACACATAGCTAGAGAAGAAAAGATGTAATTATTTTTACAATATGCATGCACTTTTCATGAAATCTTTCTATCTCACAATCTTTTCTCACTCTTTTGAATGCTCTTGAGAAAGTTGATAATCAACCTCAGTAATACTGGTGTTAGACACAGGCTATAAGCTTGATTGAAAACTTTACGTGCTAATTCTAAAAACTGAGTTACAAATATAGCTTTAGAAGGAAGGGGTGATTATAAAGATATTAATTAACTGATGATAAACATGTGGAAAATAAGGTTAACTTTTCATGTTAATATGCACGTGATTAACATCAAATACATATGTGAAAATAGAAATTAAGCACTACCTAATCATTTATTTGAACAGTAACTAAAATGAAATACAGAAAAACATCATGTAACATTTTAGTCACAATCATAGATCACGACAATTTCATTCCTTTTTTAAGGCTTGATTGTATGCTCACCCCTTACGCCATTTACTCTTTATCCTGTGATATCAAAGTGTTGAGAGAGTAGTAGTAGGGTGAAGACGGTCGTAGAATTGCATCATAAATAGCGGAACAGAAACCTACACACCTAATTAATGTATCATATGGCCTTCTATATATCTGTATATTCTAATTATTCTTAATTAGAATGGCAGATGGAGACGTTGATGGGAACATACACAATTAAAACACGCCATAACTAAACTACCTACTATCAACGCACCAATGAGGATATCCACAAATATTTATGGTCCCATTATGTTACTCTATATCCTTGTGGTAATGTAAAATCAATACTATTGGCAATGAACTATGAGGCATTGTCCATTATACAGTAAAATATTTTTATAGTCACGATGTTAGGACCAATTAAATTTATGATTATAAAGAGGTTATAATTTAATAAAGGTGTAGTTACAAGAATTATTGTTTTGATTTCTTATTTTATAATTCATAGTTTAGAAGTATTAGGATTTCAATTCATTGTTTTAGTAACATTAGGATAGTACGGAAATAGATATCAAATAGTCACTGTAGAATTGAGTGATCAAATTCGATAACTTCACTATACTAATTAAATAGATATTAATGTCTTCCTTAATAATCCAAATGAGCAACAAATCGCATATGTTTTAACTGAAAAATAAATCATTACTGGAATTAGACAAGAAGAGGAAGGAGATACTCTTGAGGATGATAGTATAGAAATACGAAAAATTTCATGCTAAGAAACTCTAAACATGTTTGAGAGCTAGAAATATTTTAACTTCAATAAGAAGGTATCCATGCTGGTTGCTTATTATGTATCTGCAAGATAAAAAATGTAATAACAACTCTAAAGCATAAACATTGTCTCAAATAACTTCAGATAAATATTTAATTCATCTTAAACCTTTAATGTAACATAGTATATATTTTTTACAATATGTATATAATTATTACTATGTAGAAATAAGTTCCTTGTGACAGGACCTAGAAAAATCATAACTTATTACAATGTAAAATTTATTCTTATTTACAATTAACCCAGTTGGAACCAAAAGTTTTTATAACTACATAAAAGTTATTCCTATATGGAATATCACTACAGAGAAGTTCTACTGTATTATTTCATATCCATTTTGTAGTGTAAAACCAAGTCAACATTTAAACAAAAACAAAATTACTAAGTACAAACCCATTTGACTCGATCAAATAGACATCAATTTATGGCGTCCTACTTTAACCCTCAGTTTAAAACCTAGACCAGACTAGCCGGTCCAACCAGTTCGATCGGGACTCGACCTTAACTCCAGTAAAACCGAACATAACATAAAACCCGCTTTTGACTAGTAATAGACTGATGGAACAGTACAAAACCGTCGATCCGAAGCTTAAAACGGTTCATTATTTTGGGGTTAATCTGATCCCTAATTCTTAAATCAGATTTGTAGCATTGTTTCATTCTCCATTTCATTGAGTGAGCAAACATTCTCCATTTCATTGAGTCAGCAAGCATTCTCCATTTCATTTTAATACCATTTCCGTCTCCAAAGATCTTCCATTTTTATCTTATATTCTTCTTCATTTATTCTAAAATCTACCATATAAAAAAGAAGAAGTAAAGGGAGGAGAAGGAAAATGCAAGAGAAGAGGAGATGGAGAGAAAGATTAAGGAAAAAGAATAGAGGAAGAGGAAGAAAGAAGATTAGAAGAAAGAGAAGATGAGACAAAGGAGAATAGAGGAAGGAAGAAGATTAGAATAAAGAAAAGAGGAGATGAAGAGAAAGAGGAAGGAAGGAAAGACGTTACAGGAGAAAGAGGAAAAAGGGTTAGAAGAAAGAAGAAGCTGACAAGGAAAGAGAAAAAAAGGAGAAAGAAAAAATTGATGAGGAGAGAGAGAAAAAGGACAAAGATGAAAGTGACGAGGGAGAGAAAAAAAAATTAACAATAAAAATGGCAGTTATTTTATACTTACAAGGACTTATGGTAAATTTTAGGGATATATTTATAAATTTTTAAACCTACAAAGACTGATAAAATTATTCAGATATGCGTCTGTTGAATACCGGTCAGATCGGCCGGTCTAACCGATTAGACCGGACAACCGGGAAACCAGTCCCTTGACCGGGTTAAGGAGCGATCCAAATAGGAAATAACCTATCGAGTCAACTCACTTCCTAATTAGTCAACTCTACATTCGACTCACTCTTGCCGACCCCATTCCCTTCGCAATTTCCCTCAGCACAAACTTCTGAATTTTCCCCGTCGAAGTCTTGGGCAATTCTTCTTTAAACACCACCGTTTTCGGAACCGTGTAATGGGGCAACCTCTTCCTGCAATAATCTATTATTTCTTTCTCCGTTGGTTTCATACTCAACTCCCCCCTCAAACTCACAAACGCACATGGAGTCTCTCCCCAGAACTCATCCGGCCGAGCCACCACCGCCGCTTCATTAATGGCCGGGTGTGAGTACAGCACTGACTCCACCTCGACGCTACTCAAATTCTCTCCGCCGCTTATTATTACGTCTTTTGAACGATCTCTTATTTCTAAATATCCATCGGTATGCATCACACCCACGTCTCCGGTGTAAAACCACCCGTTTTCTTTCAAACATTTACGAGTCCCAACCGGGTCTTTAAGATAACCAAGCATTATGCATGCTCCCCTCAGCACGATTTCACCCAATGATGACCCGTCACGTGTCACACTCGCTCCTGACTCAGGATCCACCACATCCGCTTCAGTCAACCCGATCGTCCTCACCCCTTGTCTCGCTTTTAACCTCGCTCGATCCGTTGCCGGCAAAACGTTCCATCTTGATTTCCAGGCGCATGAAACAACGATTCCTCCGGTTTCCGTTAAACCGTAACCGTGACTAACTACAAAACCGAGCGACTCGGTCCTCAAGAGGACGGCGGCCGGCGGTGGAGCTCCGGCGGTGAGAATCTTAACAGAGTTGTTGAGTGGTTGATTGTCTGGAGAGTTTGATAGCATGTTGAGCACAACGGGAGCACCACACATGTGAGTGACGCCGTGTCTTCGAATGGAGTCGTAAATAATTGAAGCGTCGAATTTACGTAGACAAATGTTGGTCCCGCCCACGGCAGCCATGCCCCAAGGGAAACACCAGCCGTTGGAGTGAAACATGGGTAGCGTCCACAAGAACACGGGCTGTTTCGGTACGGACCAGTCAGTTAAAGAATCAACGGTCACGATGAAGATCCCACGGTGGCAATGAACGACGCCTTTTGGAGCAGAAGTTGTACCTGAGGTGTAGTTTAATACCAGCGGGTCCCACTCGCTCTCCGGCCTGACCCACTTGAACTGGGGATCTCCTTTCTCAACCAGGCTCTCGTAGGAGCAAACGAAATCAGAATCAACGGTCTGCGATGAAGCATCATACTCGTCAGTGATGAGGACGACAGCAGGGGGTTTGATATTTGGCGGGAACAAAACGACGGCGTTGAGAAGGAGAGAGCGTGATTGGTGATCGACGAAGACGAGCTTGGATTGGCTGTGCTGTAAGAGAACGGAGACTGTCCGCGCGTCGAGGCGGGTGTTAATGTTGTTGAGAATAGCACCGGCGAAAGGAACGGCGAAATGGAGTTCGTAGATGGCGGGGATGTTGGGGGCCAAGACGGAGACGACGTGGCCCTTGGCGATGCCGAGAGAGGAGAGGGAAGAAGCGAGCTGGAGACAACGACGGTGGGTTTGGGACCAAGTGTGAGTAGTTTTGTGGTAAATGATGGAAGGAGAATCAGCGTAAACAGTTGCAGCTCTTTCCAAGAAACCTAGTGGAGTCAGCGGGCATGAATTAGCAGAGGTGGGCTTTAATTCCTCCATGTTTGTTTGGCTGAGGTCTGTTTGTTGGTTAGAGGAATGATGAAGATGAAGCAGAAAAAGGGCGAGTGGGGATTTAATTTATAGTGAAAGGAAAGTTCTAAACAATTACGTGTAATCTGGAAATGATAAGAATAGAATAGGGCGAAAATAGGAAACAAACGCACCAGCTGTGAAAACAGTAAAAATATATATGAAAATGGTATGTTTATTAAATGAGATGTCAGATATTCTTGTCTTTTCCTAAACAAAAAAACATTGGATTCAATTAACATTAATAAAACGCTTCCCTTGGATGTTTTACTATCTATAACTGCTACAATTTGTGGATTATTACTGTACCCAATTAATCAAGGTTTTAAGAGAGACTTTATTCATCCTCAGGTTTGGTCAACTATAATGTTATTTATAGTGGGCAATAACTGGACACCATATTTTTTAAGTCTTGGTCAACGGTAAGTCTTGGTCATTTTTAATTGACTTTGAATATTAAACTATATAGTGGACACCCTATTTTCCATAAAATAAAAATAACTGTAGTGTTGGGTAACGTTAACATGTAAAGGCTTCTTTTTGAGTTAAAATCCTAATCTAATAAATACTAATATCTTTCCGTTACCCCAAGTACAATATAGACACAGCGGCTGTCATTTTCAAGAATACACGCCATTATAAAAGCGTCCCACTTCTTGTGAATCACATGTTGATGTTGATGATAGCTCCTTAGTCCCACCATGGCGTGACTCACGCTCTCTTTTGTCTTTTTTCTTAATTAATTTATTAAATTTTTGTAATATTTAATGAAAACAAAGTATATAAATTCTATTAATTAAAAAAGTATTTATTAATCAATTATATGGGCCAAAAATCTTCTTATGCCTTATCAGTCCTAAGTATTTATTTTCTACCATATAGGCCCAAGGTCGTGGTCCAATTCTAGTTAGACATACATCAGAATTCATGTTATGGGCCAAAACGAACGGCCCAAACCCATCCTCTCTCTAGATTAGGCATCACTATTAGCCCACCTAAGGCCAAGCCCATTGGTCCAAGATAATTAGGACTCTTCCTATTTGGATTCTATCCTAATTTGCCCAAGATTTCATATCTTACGTGAATTATGACTCTTAATCCTATTAAGGCAAGTAAATCATGATCTTTTCCTATTCACTAAACCTCTACTATTATGGACTCAATGTCCTATTAGGATACGAAGATCCTACGACTACTATATAAATAGGGGTCACACCTCTGTTTAGGCATTCAATCTCAATACCACATACTTGCTCCCAAGCTCCTACTCTTAAGAGTTATATATCTACGTCGTAGTTCTAGTCTTCGACTAAACTTCTAGTAACCTTTCATTCCCTTAGACCTCACTAAATTGTCTCATTCAACCTTATTGATTTAGGCGTCGAAGTGCCTACGGTAGACATCACATTGATGTTTACTTAAGCTCCATGCTTGTTTACTTTGTGTGCAGGTACAACGGATTATCAATGGCCTCAATCTCATAGGATCACACCTTCTTTCCGTAACCGTAGATTTTAGCATCTATAGTTTGGCGCCCACCGTGGGGCCTCTGACAATCAACTCCCGTTCAACATCCTGCTCTATAGAGAATCACGACATGGTTGAAATCACAGACACTGCCTCAATAGACCTCACGGCTAAGGTCGAGGCTCTCTCAACACTAATACAGCAACAGGTCGACAAGGTCACGACACTGGAAGCCGAAGATATCAGCATTTAGGCTAAAAACAACAACATCCAAGCCGAGAATCAGAATCTACGGGAAAAGGTAACTCAATTTTATTCTCTTGATTTCTCATTCAATTGGATACCAAAGAACTATTTCCATGTCCTGATGAATACCATGCAGCCACTCATGACCCCAGACCCTAAATCCTCGGCCTTAGACCCTCGGTCTTCCCATCTCCATTCATCCATGACGGATGGCTCAGCACTCTCCATCACTAACGCAACTATCCTAGCCATGCAAACATGACCCCTATCAGCTGACCCCTCAATCACCCGTGACCAGCTCACTCAAGCCATCCCCAGCTAGTAGCAACAAAATATCACCAACATCGACCATCCCATCAGTATGACTGACCCACACTAAGCCCAACAACCTTCCAGCTTGGCTCTCCCTCATGGGTCTAGCAACCTCCCTTACCAAACACCGCTCGGCTCGGCTTACCCTCATGGGTTGAGCGGTCCCCAAGTCACACCTTTAACCATACATGCTGGCAGAAGCACTCGAACTGCTACACTCATGATTACTTATCTTGAAGGAATGAATGGAGCCCCTAACACCCAAATAACAACCATCAAGCTACACCCAATGACTCGGCTCGCCCTACCAGACCGAGTGAAAGAAACATCCATCACCAAACCATCAATCAAAACCTACTCTCTGTCACTACTCCCCTAGAACAAATACTAGCCAAGAAATTGGTCGATATGGAAGCCATGATGAGGCGCATACCCGGAGTCCCCACCCCAGCTAAAAAAAGCCTTCCCTATAGCTATGTCAACTCACCCTTCATTGACTCCATAGCCCTAGTCGAGATGCCTCACAAGTTCTCCATCCCAAACATGAGACCCTATAATGGTACAACCGACCCAGATGACCACATTGTCTCGTACAAACAGAGGATGTTTACCGTCTCCATACCATAGGATCTTATGGAAGCATGCATGTGCAAAAGCTTTGGCTCTAGCCTCTTAGGACCGGCTCTTCAGTGGTATACAAACCTCCCTAACAATTGCATAAACTCATTCACCCAGCTCACTGACACATTCGTTAAGCAATTCGCAAGCAGTAAAAACTTGAGAAGCTGTCAGCCGACCTGTACATGGTCTATCAGAAGAGAGGAAAGCCACTCCGAGAATATGTCAGTCGTGTAACGCCCCACTTGAGGTATGTAGTTATTGTTTCTTCTTTTGCTCTTATTTGAGTTGGTTTCTTGGTAATATTGTTTGGTTGACCTTTGATTGAGTGTTATGTTGAATACTTGTCCTGAAATTGGTGGAAAATAGAAGAAGTTTAGTGTTTCAGTCTTCGCCAAAGCGAAGAAGAATCTTTGTCGCGGCGAAGAAATGTTGAAGCCACGGGAAAGCTGCTGGACAGTTTCGCCGCGGCGACAGGTCGACCAAAATGTTGTTAAGTTTTAGATATTTTCTTCCCTAGGGGCAATTTGACCATTCTACCCCTAATTAGCAGGAAAAGTGGGGAGTAAAATGTAAGGAATTTTCATGGAGAATATGTTGCTATGGGGGTGTGTTTGTAATGAATCAAAGGATATAGATAGAATTCCCAAAGAAGAGTAAGGGCAAAATGGGAATGCTTGTGTATAAATTTCATTAAAAGGAATTAAGTCATTGCAAACCCTTCATTCTTCTTCTCCATCGCCACTCTCCTCTCTTGCTTCCTCTCAAATTCTCTTTCTTTTGATCAAGGAGTTTTAAAGGGCTTTTGGAGTGATTTGGGGTAGAAAATCAACCTAAGGCATCCTAAGGTAAGGATTCTTGCTTTGGTTGTGAAGCTTTGTGAGTTTTTGTATATATTGAATATTGAGGGTTTTTGTTCTTTTGTTTAAGAGTAGAGAAAAAGTCAAGCAAACCAAGTGAAAGGAAGAGTTAGTGAAATCTCTCCATAACAAGGTAAGTAAACCCCAACCCAAGTTGAGATTTGGGAATTTTCTTGATTAGGGTTTTGATAGCACTTATGTATGTATGTTATATACATGTTATATGCCATGTTATTGAGGCTTAAATAGAGATTTCTAGTGCTTTGTGATTGTTTATACATTGCAAATATAAGAAGTGAGATGTGGGTTGGAAAGGTAGTTTGAGATGGAATTGAAGGGTATTGAGGAATCCTTTTGGAAGTGTCTTTCTTTGGCAGGTTATGTGGCTATGTGAGGGGGTTTCTCCCCATTTTGGATGGTTAGAGAAAGATTTAGAATTATTGTTATAGTAGAGTTTTATTATGCACTTGAGTTGTTTGATGAAATGCCTAATAGAGGTTTGAGTATGAGTAGTGAACCTTAATTCTTGCAACATTGCATGTTGGCATTTCATAAGTGCATTAGTGGAGATGAACCATCCATAGGCATTAATTGTGCATTGAGAAGTGACCTAAGAAAGAGTAGGAAACTTTGTGTATGCACTTGCTCTATGAGTAGAGAACTTTGTGGATGCAACTACTCTAAGGGTAGAGAGAATGAGAAGTGCTAGAGTAGAGTGAATGAGAAGAGTAGTAGAAATGGGTTGATGCTTTGTGATCATCACCCGACAGTTATGAGAATCGGGTTGATGCTTTGTGATCACCACCCGAATAGCTATTAGAAATGGGTTGATGCTTTGTGATCATCACCCGATAAGTATTAGAAACGGGTGGATGCTTTGTGACCACCACCCGGTTAGTTATTAGAGAAGGGGTTGATGCTTTGTGATCATCATCCGACATTTATTAGAAGTGGGTTGATGCTTTGTGATCATCACCCGACAGTGACTAGAGACGGGTTAATGCTTGGTGATCGTTACCCAAAAGTCATGAGAAACGGGTAGGTGCTAGGTGGTCTCCACCCGATAGTTACGAAAACCGGGTAGGTACTTCGTGATCCCTACTCGATAGTCACTAAGAACGGGTTGGTACTGTGTGAATTCCACCCGATAGTCATGGAGAGTGAGATGGTGCTGTGTGAACGCCATCCGGCCATACCTCCGATAAGATGAGGCCATGACTTTTAGGAGAAACAGAAATAGAAACAGAAATAGTGTAAGGAAAGAATTAAGAGTAATACATACGGGGATAAATAGATAGAGGGTTTTACTTACTGAGCATTATTTTGTGCTCACCCCGTTATTTTCCTTTGTGGATGCAGGATCTAGGTGACGATGCAGTCGAAGGGGCGTCGGCAAGCGAGGAGCAATAGCTACACTGTTTCCCCTGTTTTTGTCTTTTAAAATGGCTTTTTGTAAATGATGCTCTTTGTGTATAAAAGACGTATTACTTTTAATAAAAAGAAAAGTTTTGGGCCCATTTTCTATTGTTATTATGCATGCATTGTACTAGATTTCAGCAGTTGTTACAAGTCGATTCA